GAAGCAACAGTTTTCCATTTCTTTGAGACTTAACTGTTAGTTTGTTCTAAGTCAGCTCTCTGGAAGTATGGATTATTTATCCAACCAAGTGTTCTTGGAGAAAACATCATAGGCACCATTTATCAGAATGAAGATGTTTTATGGGGCGACTAGGTCGCTCAGTCGGTTGAGCATCCGACATCAGCTCAGGTCATGATCTCACCACTTGTGAGCTCGAGCCCCTCATTGGGCTCTGTGCTGACAGCTCAGAGCCTGGAGCCTGCTTCGGACTCTGTGTCTCCCCCTCTCTCTGCCCCTCCCTTGCTCATGCTCTGTCTCTCTCTGTTTCTCAATAATAAATAAATGCTAAAAAAAAATTTTTAAGATGTTTTAGGACCACAACTTGATATATGAGACAGCATAAATGACATATTTAGAAACTCAGGAGGGGGAATTTTTTTGAGAAGAGGGTAGGCTGGGAAGGGAATTGTCTTTCTTTGAAACTGAGAAATTAATAGGAAAACCTTCTTTTCTCATATAAATATAGATGACACTATATTTGAACTGATGCTAGATCTTGTGGCAATAGAAGTAGTCTTTTTACTAGGTTTTGAGAATTATTTGCAAGAGTTGGAGTATAAAGCAGAGAAGCATAATTTCCTGATACTGCCAAATATACCTCAAAAACCAAAATTAACATTTTCATAGCAATTTAGAGCTTACAGAGAAGGTTCCTTTTTTAAACAAAATACTGTTTCATTGAATAGTGTACATTCGGAATTAGATCCACTTCCATGTATTATAATCTATGGGTTCTGAGAAAGATTCAGTGAGAGGGGAGGTGGTTCTACAGTCCAGAGCGTTCGATTCTGGCTCCTTCTTTCCTGACACTGAACACAGCTCTTGCCCCCTTCTAGCCAAACAAACTAAAAAAGGTAAATACTTTTTGGCTCTCCACTTTTGAAGGTCCCCAGTGTGTCCTGGCATTTCTACATCCTACCAATTGGTTCAGTGACCTTTTTGACAGGCTGTGTTTTTTCCTAAAGCAATATTCATCCAGTGTTAGTCAAACACACCTTGAGGAGCAGAGAGGAGGAAGCACAATGGCTCTATGTTTTCAGAAATGTCCCCTTCATTCTCCAGCCTATGATGGAGGGGCGTGAAAATGCACCTCTGGGAAAGACTGCTTTGTCTTTCAGTTTTCAAAAGTATCAAAGACTTGTGTAAAAATGGAAAAAAAAATTTAAGCCCTGGGTTTGAGTCAGTTTAAGCAAAGCATACATTATTTCAGCTCTTCATTTGTCCCGCTTTTAGAGAATGGCTTCATTAAATGTAATAGTATCTGCGAGACTACCTTCTACTCTGAAGTGTTTACAGTGGCCACTACTACCACCACCACCAACACGCTGTCCAAGATCCCTCGTTATGTCCTATAAAAGCAGCTAACAGGTATCATCTTGCCAACCAGTTCCATTCAATCAGGAGTGGCTTGCTGGGGCTCTGTGTGGAGAAAGTTTCTGAGACCACACCCAGGCATTGAGGGAAAAACAGTAATAGCCCTTATGTGAAGACATTATGAATGGAGAATGATCACATAGGTGTCAGACACTGGCCATCTCAGACACAGAGAGTGATACTAGCTAAAACATTAATAAGGACTCCAAGATCTATCATAGTTCACAAGAATTACATCATCTCCTGCCACTCTGTGACCCAGAATATAACCACAAGTTTAAAAAAATAACATTTTGGTGAACTAGAATAAACAACCTGGAAAATTTTTCAGTGAGCTTTGTCTTACAATCCAATCTTCTTCCAACAATGTTTTCTTAAATTTTCAAAGCTAAGATTTTCATATAATTCAAGTTGGAATGAAATGAAGGGATCGTTTTTGCTCTGGTAGCTTCTCACCATCCTTAATCTTCTATTCCCTAAATTAAATTCTAATAAAGCTTGTTCAAAATGCTTATTTTAATAAATCCCCAGGCTAAAGGAATCAAAATAGCATTAGAAGTGCTTATACTTCCTAGCCCTCTTCTCAGGATATAGATAGGGCTGCCAATGACATGATCAGCAAGATGGAAGTCCTGATGAAATTATGGGCGCAATACACCCTCCCAGTTCTTCAAATTCACCACTCTTATTAACAACACATTAAATGGGAGGAAAGAGGAGAGCAACACAGGAATACCAACTTTACCCTAGAGTTATTGTCTGCTTCTGCAGGAAAGTAATTCAAGAGATTAATTCATAACTGAGATGAAAAACTTAATGATTTTTTTCTCCCTCTTGTGCCCCCTTACTATCATTTGCGTCCAAAAGACCTTTTATAAGGTTTATGTCCAGTTGCCAGATTTTAAGGTGTATTCTTATAGTTGGAAATTAAATTGCAAAACAACATTCCCCCCGTCACCCCTGCAAATGCTTGAAATTTGTTCTTACAAAATGATATCCTTTTAAATACATTTTCCTCCAATGTGACTGGTTGCAAGTAATTTCTCTGTTGAGAAAAGCCACATATCAGTTCCTTTCCTTGCCTTTGGAAATGTCTTTGCTAATACAGATGCTCAAAATGACCTTGGTGTCAAGTAGTACCTGCTGGCTCATGAAAATTACCTTTGACCTGGATCTCAGGAAGAGGGAGATGCAATGAGCTTGAATTTATTTCAAAGGTACCAATACACATTCTAGAAACTTGAGCAAATGTGTATGTGGAAGATCTAAAGGAGCCACTAAATGTGGTCCAAGTTCAAACATAACATTCATCTTATACTATCATGCTCTCTGGCTTTTTATTTTTTCTTTTTTAATATGAACCAAAGTTTAATTCCTGTGCAAATTAAATGTAAATACTTTTGATGACTAAAATTTCTCAACCAAACACATTTTGAAATATGAAGTCAGGAAGAAATAGGAATCTTCACAAATGTTGATGTGATTGGGTTATTATTTTTAGTTCCCAGGTCCCCAGAATGAGAATGCTTCTACCTTGCTGACCAGAGCTATTGCTTGAATCAATCACACTTTTTATACAAAGGTGTAAAAGTTGCAAATAATATTCCTCAAAGAATTCACAGTGGAGCTGGGGAGATGAGTCTAACACGCATGAAATGATTAGGGGATACTGAGTCAATATAATTAAGTGTACTCAGAAGACAACTTTATAGGGAATGAGAAAAATGGAAGACAAAGTATCAAAGTCTTCATGGAGGTGAAAGAAATACTACACATAGAAAGATTATTAAGATTTGAATCAGTAGAAGGGCAAGGAAAAGGGGAGATGAGAAACCTTTTGCTGAGGTTACTACCCAAGGCTCTAATTTTTAAGTTATATTTTATTGATTCTAAGAAAATAAAGACCTTAAATTCCTAAGATCTTATTTTACATTTCAATGTCTCAGAAACTAGGATGCAAATTCCATTCATTGACATGCCATAGTCTAATTGTCATTGATTTTCTACCAAGAAGGTACCATAATGGTCCTTAGTGGTTTTTCTTTGGGCTGATAATACCTTATATCCAAAGATACGGAAAACATATAAACATCCTATAACCTAAATCACAGAAGCAGTGAAGATTGGACAATCTTTTGAATAACACTGTAAGGCTACCTGATCCTTGTTTGTGATTTACTTTTCTTTGATTCCACTACATTCAAACCTGATTCCAGCATCTACAAGGAGCAAAAATGTGCTACTTACCAGCTTATTGCCTCTCAGTTCCAAATCCACCCTTGATTGCCTACTGTGATACTGAAACATTTATCCCCTTCCAGCTGGCACAATTCTAATCTTTGTCAATAGAAGACATGTGAGGGGCCTTGGAGAAGGAAGGTATTCTCCTTCTGGTTCTGGTGTGTTAATTTTTCCTACACCTGCTTCAGTGGGCTGGTAGTCAGGATGCCCAGTGAAACTCACTCCTAATGAGTCTCCTGCAGGTAACGACCTGCAAGAGAACGATTTACAGGTCCCTCAGCTGGCTCTTCTAAGGTGAGGTCTGCGACATACCCAGCTGGTCTCATAGTATCTTCCTGGTGACAGAATCCTGATGAGGGTTTCCCAGTATATTCAATACCATCCTCCTCTCCTGGGAGGCTTCCTGGTGAATATCATTGACAGCTCAGCAGACAGTTTCCTTCTTTGGGATTAAAATGGGTCCCATACACCAGTAGGGAAAACCTGAGAGCCTTCTCAATTTGCTTTCCCATTTGGGGCTGGGATTGGGGTTGGGGGATAAGGAATAGAATAGGTTGACTGGGAAAAGCAGGAAGTTAATGAACAGATATATGTGCATGATTGTCAAGGTGTTTCTAATTATCTCAAACCTCCTAGAAAGCCCTTCTTGCCTAACTTCTTTGCTCAGGGATGAACCTCATTATCAAAGCAGTCATTGTCTTTTAATGCTGATCCTGGACACAAGCCATACTGATGCATTTAGATACAACATAAAAGATCCTTCCACCACTAGCAAGCTTTTTTTTGTCCAAGAAACATCCAGATGTTTAAAAAAACAGGTATTTAACATTGGAGAAATAAAAATAGTTGTTTGACAGTTGATTTAATGTTTCTTTTTTTATCCAGATGTTTTAGTATCTCATACACACTTTCTAACTATTTTGGAGCAATATTTCTTTGCACAGCTTGGCATTTTGAAGGTTGTATTGTTTTAACATTGAAAAGGAATATAAATAAGAGAGTAAGAAATGAAATGATTTTTGTTTCTAACTGCAAAATATATTGAACAGATTCATGGCTTTAAAGAGAAAGAAAGGATTAGCACAGGTAAATGCCTATCATTTTCCTTTATATTTAGACTAACTTTCCCTTGTATTTGGAGATTAGATTGTAAGATATTTGAACTTCTGCTGAAGGACGTTATAAGGCATTCTAAAGTATATTACTTTCATAAGAGTCCTTTCCTTAGCTATAACTTTAAAATTAGTATACAAATTAAGTTTCTTAAAATTTGAAAGCTCTCCCTGAACATGAAAACTCTTTAATCTTAAAAATAATGTTCTATTCAGCATGGTTCCATGTTGCCAGTTGTGGCCATGGGATCCCCAACTGCATGTGAGAGCAACCTGAAGGGACTTGGACATCACAGGTGAGCATAATACCTACAGCTGTCATTCACCTTCCCTATAGCAACTCAGAACCTGGGCTGGATGCCACCTACCTCAGTGCAGGTGTTTCCATAAACTTCCATGTAGATGGGTGTATTGAATCGACTTTTTGGTTTAGAGAAAAAAAAACAAAAACAAAAATAAACAAAAATAAAACAATAAAATAAAATTCTATTTTGCTCACATTATCTTACTTCAAATAGATAGTTGACTTACTCATGAATTACCTTGTTTCTCTCTGACCCACTTTTTTTTTTCATTTCCTGAATTTTTTTTAAGTGGAATGTGTGTCAGGATATCATCTCTGGGCCTTCTATAGCCTTATTCTCTTTTATTTCCCTATATTTCTTGAAGTCCAATATCATGTCTGGGCCTTCCATATCCTTATTCTCTTTTCTTTATACTTCTTGAAATTAAAGATAGAAGAAGTCAAAGAAAGGCATATGTGAGTTTGAGGAAAAGACCTGTTTATATTGAACAAGAAGAAGACTTCATTCAGATACTCTAAGGATAAACTCATGATGGTTATTTTATCCATTCTGGAGGAGCCAGTATCAGTCCAGAGCCAAGAACAGGAGCAGAAGGTTCTCACTCTGGTTTTATTGTGTTCAGTATGTGCTGAATGAGCTAAAGAGGGAAATACAGGCTAGTCTTTCCCAGCTAGACGTCATCGGTAAGATGAGTCAAAATCCAGAAATTCATTTTATACACACATACCACTCTATGCACATAATCACAAGATATTCACATTTGTAATTCCATTTAGACCTGTACTATATCATCAATCCTGCCAACACTGTGAAGACATTCCAATCCTCTAAAAAAGCATATGAGGACATCACATCTTTTTCCACTACTTTCTCTAACAAGAATGATGCTGGTGATTCTCTGAATGTTAGATATGCAAAGGCTACACCCTACCATCTGCTGCACTTGTTAATGAATGTGTTGCCATCACAGAGCATAACAATGGTAAAGAACCTTCAAAAACACCTATTTCTTCCATGAAAGCTGGAAAATTTAAGATAAATGGGAGTGGATGATTTTCTCAAGGTCTCTCCAGGAAGTTAGTGGCAGAGCAAGAAGCAGAATGTCTGTAGTTCATGGCTTTCTTGTAGCACAAAGTACCATGGCTAACTAGCTTTTAGTTGAAACTGAAAATGTGCTCTATCTTCCTTAAGTAATGTTAATATTATCCAAGGATTTTCTCCTACCTTACTACGATCTTTCTCAAAAAATATTATTTTGTCAAACTATTCAGATTCAGACTTAGATTTCCTTACCACCAATAAGGAAATGAGGAGGTGTGCTAATATTTGTCAGTTGATGAGGAGGAAAGATGAAATGCGGTCAATGACTTCTGATGATAAAAAAATATACGAGCAAGTTTGAGATTATAGATGCAGTTTCTGGAAAGTCCCAGGACATCGCCTCTGAACCAGCTTGTCTATTGAAGTAGAAATCCCACTATTAATGGCTCCTTTGAGATATTTAGTTCATACCAAAATCAGAATACTTTCTTATGGGCAGAGAGATTCACAGGAATCAGGAGGGTCATAAGGCAGCACTATGTGCTACAACTCTGTGCCCTTGAGCAATTGAGAAAGGATATATACTATTTGTACACAAAAATAGCTAAAATAAGGCAGAATAGGGTCATGTCGTAAGTGCACTGCACTTACAGATGACTTTAGGGAGGCCTCTTCCCACCCGCCAATCCTCACTTCCCACTCTCCCCAACACACACACACACACACACACTCCCACTATCTCATTTAATATTCACAATAACAAATACATCTTTTTACATGTATTAATGTTAAAGAGACTGACCAATATAATAAATTGAATATACCCGTGAAGCAAGTAGGATACTTCAGAATTCTTCACTGATACCCAATTCATCACCAGGGACTTAATAATTTTAAAGAGCATTTGTTGGCATGTCCAAATTTCCGTTATGGACTCTTCTTTAGTTCATCCTTTTAGTCTAGGTCAGGATGTGTCAAATGTTAGTACACATAAGAATTACTTGTTATAAACTTTAAGTTCATTATAAATATAAAACTATGTATACCATACCTTACAGAAAAATTTAAGATTTTCAAGGGCAATCTGACCACATGCAATTTTGCCTTACACCTTAGACTTTGAAAGCTCTGCTCCAGGTAAAATGCATCTCCTCACCTGTGCAGGTGAAGTAAGATCTGGAAATGTGAAGCCATGACACAGATGCCTTACTATCCAGGTGGAGGTGTTCACATTTTGTCTGTAAATTTGGGGCAATCACAAAGATTGTTGAGCAAGCAAGTGAGGTGGCAAAATGCATTTTAAAATTAATCTGGTGGCTTTGAAAGAGATACATTGGACGGGTGAAGTTGGGGGCTAGGCTGGAAGAAGGGTTACCAGTGTGCAGATCATTTCAATGGTCTGGGTGCGAGGTACAGAGGCCCTAAATGGAGATGGGTGTAGAAATGTAAAGGAAGTAAGAAGCATTGCCAAGGAAGATCCTGATATCTGATTAGATATGAATGGAAATACCAATAATGTAGCATAGTTATTAAAAGCAAAGACTTTTCTATTTTACAGATCAGGTTCAAATTCCACTTCCCACCACCATCTATATGTGATCACAAACATATTTAAATTTCCTGTGATGATTCATTTTACAGATCCACTTCACTGGGCCATGGGGTGTCCAGACATCTGGGTTGCCTGTGAGAGTGCCCCTGGATGAGATGAATACTTGAATCTGTAGATTCAGAAAAGCCATTGTTCTCCTTAAGGTTGTTGTGCCTCATCCAATCAATTAAAAGCCTGAATAGAATAAAATAGCTAGGAAAGAGTGAACTCTTCCTGACTGACTGCCTTGACCTGGAAGATTGTTTTTTCTGGTCTTCAGATTTGACCTATAACATCAGCTCTTCATAGGTCTTGAACCTGCGAGTTTTCAGACGAGAAGTACACATCAGCTCTCCCGGGTCTCCAGATTGCCAACTGAAGGTATTGGGACTTCTCAGCCTCCCTAATCACGTGAGCCAGTTCCTTATAACAAATATATTACATACATATATAATATGTATATATTATATACCAATAAATGACTGGTTCTGTTTCTCTAAAGAATCTTGGCTAATACACTTGCTAAGATTCATTTTCTTTATATGTACAATGGACTCAATAAATTTACCCATAGTGCTAATATGAAGATTAAAATGAAGGAAAGTAGGTTTGCGTGGCATTAAAAAAAAAAAAAAAAAATTGATGGTGAAAACAGAGCTTTTGAAAAATTAAGCTTATTTAACTGATGTAGAGTTACTTTAATATGTAGGTTACTTTCTTTCTTTCTTTTTTGAGAGAGAGAGAGAGAGAGAGAAAGAGAAGGAATGCATATGCGGAGAGGAGGGGCAGAGGGAGTGGGAGAGAGAAATCTTAAGCAGGCTCCAAGCACAGAGCCAGACCGATGCAGGGCTTGATCTCACAACCTTGAGATCAATGACCTGAGCTGAAATCAACAGTCAGACACTTAACTGAATGAACCACCCAACAACTTAGTAAATAACTCCTAAGAGTATGTGGGGTCTAGGGGAGACAAGAGAGATCCAGATGTGTGACAAACATTTCCATGAACCCATGAATGTGCCCTGAACTGTGCACTTCAGGTTACTAAAGTTTTCAAAATAATTGCAGAAGGAAAGTCTTCAAAATAATTGCACAAATAGCTTGTGATTAAGTAGTTGCACTACAAAACTAATCATAGGTGAATCCTGAAGCTGCTAGAAGGATGTACCACAACCTGAGAGTGACCTCAGTTCAATGGAGTAGCTGAGGTGTCACACCCATCTTCAGGTCCCTTCTCATGGATAGACTTGATATTGAAACACAAACTCATTTCCAACCATCCCTTTATGCTCACTGAAACCTCCTTCTCCCCACTGCAAAGCTCCAGCTTGAGAGACCGCTCTGTGAAATTCCCTTGTGAAAAGTAAATAACTGTCTTGCTGTTTCCTTCAGTTGCTGTTGAGAGAAACATGATGAACTGCCTCAGAGCTTCCTTTCCCTTGGGATTCCCCATTCTCTGCAGCCATCTCCTCTCTGTTTTTGCTCTATAATGATACTGGAGGCTTCTACTAATATCCCCAGGTTCTTCACAAGGGACCCTCCATTATTCTTACATGTCCAAAATATATCCAGAGAGTCTTCTCATGCTCTTTCCCAAAGACTTGGCTGAATGGCAGATCCGGGCTCCCTCCACAGGGATATGCACCCTATTCACCCTATTCCCTCACCACCGTGCCTCCTTCTCTCCCCATCTCCCTTTATCAAGTCAAGGGTAAGGAAAAGCACTGCTCTCATTAGTGTGATTTCTTCCCTGCCCTGGTACCACACACACATATCACAAATTTTCTGAATTGATTCCTTTAGGGCTTTGATTTTGATCCTCCAAACCAAGCTTTTAAAAATTACAAAGCCTTCTTAAAATACCCAACCTGTACAAATCAGACACCTCAGCACTCAAAGCTATTTCATCAGCCTTAAAATACTAAAGTTGAGCATTTTCTTCCTTCTCACATTTCGTATTTTCCATAATAAAATTCTGCTGAGGATAGTGGCTCCCCCTGCTACTTAGAAGTATGGATAAAACAAAGAGTAGGAAAACCACGTAGTTTAATATCAGAATATCATTCTGCCACAGATAAAACACCTATGATGTTTATTTTCAGGGTCCCCCTACCCCCACCTCCTTCTTATTTGTCCTACTTGACCCTAATCTTCCTTCACAAGTGCCATGTAACTTCATGATCTTGCCTTCTAGCAAACACTCCTTCAGAGCAAGATTCTCCTCCCTCAGTTGACCTTAAAGTGCAAGCCACCGAAAAGGCTAGAGCACTAATCCTTCCAAAGTGATTTGCATTTTAATAGTAATCAAACACTTGAGCTATAAATAAAACCCAAATCTGCAGTAATGGAATTTTCAGTATCAGTTAGCCCATGAATAAACATATTTTAGACCCAAGAGTCTT